AGTGCTGCAGTCGACACAGTACCAGGGGGGGGAGACACGCACGCACCTAGAGCAGCAGCCTCACCAGCACCTGGGGTAGCAGACACGTGGGTACGTGGAGCAGCAGACGCACTCGTCCTAATGCCCGGGTCGGGCGGGACACTCAGGTACTCAGAACCCTCTCCACTAGTAGACATCAAATACATGGCAGAGAGAATAGCATCAAAGTCTAGAGCATAGATATCAATCCCCTTCTTCAGGAGATCAAGCCAGCGGGGCAGCTCAGTGGCCTGAGGGAACTGAACACGCCAAGCGTCGCTCAGACGAGCGAAGCAACGCTGTGTGGCGTGCAGTCCCCCACACGGCTGGCCAGTGCGGTCACCAGTGCGAATGACGTACGTGCAGCTAAGGCCACCCCCCCCCCCCCCCCGTGCTGAGAGTACCACTCACGGACCTCCTGGGGCGAGGGAGTGTGCTGCTGTCCCTGGCCACCGCTAGTGCCGCCACGCCCACCACTCCCGCCACCACCTCCTCGACCACCCCAACCCCTGCCGCCGCCTCGTCCACCGCCACCCCCACTACCTCCTCCGCCCCGGCCACCTCCCCCGCCGCTGCCGCCACCCCCACCACCGCTGCCACCTCCCCCACCCGCGCCACCCCCCCCGCCACCACCTCCCCCACCACCGCCACCCCCGCTGTCACCACCACCGCTCTTGGCCCCCTTGCCCTTGCCGCTGCGGCGTCCGCCCGAAGCAGACGCAGTCCCGACCTTCTCAGCACCAAGGAGGTCGACAGCAGCAGCAGAGGCGACAGAGGGAAGAAGGGGGGAGGGAGAACACCCCTCAAAGAACGGGGTGCGGGGGTCACCGCGAGAGGCACCTACAGCGACTATGCTAGTCTCGGCTGCAAGGAGTTCCTTCTCGAGGAGGGCAATGGTGAGCTCGGTGGGGCAGCGAGCGAGGAAGTGGTCCCTGACTGAGCGCAGCGAGTCAGGGAGGCGCGTGACTAGGTGGTAGAGAGTGATCCAGAGCGGGGGTGGGTTCGTGGCGAGGAACTCATCAGGCATAGCGGCGCGGAAGCGAGCCTCACTAGTGCGGAGGTGGGTAATGAGGTCAGCGACAGTGAGAAAGGAAGCTAAGTCGGGGAACAGGTAGGGAAGAGAGAGACGGCCTAGAGCAGCAGAGGCCGGTGAGGAGTAGCGGGCAACGACAGCAGTGTACAGTGCCTGTGCAGTCTTGTGCTGCCCAAAGTGCTCGCGCTCATCTATCGGCAGAGAGTTGCGGATAGCGAAACGAGCATGGGCGTCACGAGTCTGCCACTGTGAGCGAGCAGTGCTGTCGGCAGTAGCAGCAGGAGCAGTAGCGTGGCCTAGGGCGTGATCGTACAGCGAGATGTCTTCCTTGGCAGTGAGCTGTAGGAAGAGGTGTAGGTCATCAAGCCAGGTGTCGAACTTCACTGGGCGCCCCTCAGCATCGAAGGCTAGCACTGGAGGGCTAGCCATGGTAGTAGCAGTAGTAAAAGCAGCAGGAGCAGTAGGTAGGTAGGGCGGCGCGGCTCGGTACAGGTAGGGCGGCGCGGCTCGGTATAGGTAGGGCGGCGCGGCTCGGTACAGGTAGGGCGGCGCGGCTCGGTATAGGTAGGGCGGCGCGGCTCGGGTCGGGCAGCGCGGCTCGGTTCGGGCGGCTCGGGTCGGGCGGCGCGGCTCGGGTCGGGCGGCTCGGTTCGGGCGGCTCGGTTCCGTTAGGGCCGGGCTGTTCGGTGCGGGCGGCGCGATCTAGGTGGGGCCGTTCGAGGCAGCTAAGGGGAGCGCGGGGAGCGGGTGGGGTTGGGGACGGGGCCGACGCGGGCTGTAGGGACGGGGCCGACGCGGGCTGTTAGGGGTAGGGACGGGGCCGACGCGGGCCTCTAGGAGTAGGGACGGGGGCCGACGCGGGCCTCTAGGGGTAGGATCGGGGGGCCGACGCGGGCCTCTAGGGGTAGGATCGGGGCCGTCGCGGGCCTCTAGGGGTAGGGACAGGGCCGTCGCGGGCCTCTAGGGGTAAGGACGGGGCCGTCGCGGGCCTCTAGGGGTAGGCTCGGGGCCGACGCGGGCCTCTAGGGTAGGCGCGGGGCCGACGCGGGCCTCTAGGGGACGAGCTCGGGGCCGACACGGGCCGTTAGGGTTAGGCGCGGGGCCGATTCGGGGCCTCTAGGTGCAACAGCGCGGGGCCTACAGGGCCTCTAGAGGCGTGAACGTCGAGGCGCCCTAGGGCAGGTAGGCAGATAGGCAGGTAGGTAGTGGTGGGCCCTTAGGAAAAACGGTCCTAAGAAGGACCTGCTCTATACCATGTTGAACGAGAAATGAGATGACTAAGAACGAATGAGTACAAATGTGGAAACCTAGAAGTGTGTACCCCCTATAGGCTAACCCACTGCAGCCTAAACAACTACAACATTAGATATAATGTTTGACATACACCACTGTTTCCGCCAACAGCACTAACACTAATCCATTAGCACTCGCGACACTCACCTCGACACTGTTCCCGCCACTCTTCACGACGCGACCCAACCTTACGGTTCGGTTGGTAACCCGCGCTCCGGACCTCCGCCTCGACATTTCCCAACCTCGGTGCTAGTCTCGTCGCGCACCCCATTTTCCACACATTACCGTTACCACTATAGTTTCGCTATATATCATTCGCTCATGCCTTCACTCATTGTACTCTTGTGTTACGGGTGCAATGAATCGAGGTAGCGAGGATTGCACTAAGTCTCGAACAAGTACAAAAGGTGAGCGGGGGCATGAGCAAACATTTATACGCGAAACATGCAAACGGTAACGCGGTGCGTGCGAGCTAGCTAGTGCTAGGCTGGCATCGAGGCTCGGGCTAGTCCCAAAGTGTAGGCCGACACGGCCGGGCCAGCGGTGCATGGTTTGGTGAAACAGTGCGCGCGAAGTCGGCTAAGCCCCTTTACTGGTAACGGGCGAACAACGGCTTCTGCTGTACGCGATGTTGCAGGATGTGCTAAGGAATGTCGAGGAAATTCCTTACATCTTGCTTCGATAGCGCAATCCTCGTTTGCTCACTCAATTGCACTTGTAACAAGTTCACTCACTCTGTTATGAGTTGTATGAAAGAAGAATGCGCAGTATTCAATAACGCGGAAGTGATTACAACTACTGAGCAAACAATGAGGCCTAGGCATAATATAGCAAAGCTAGCTAGGCCGAGGTCGCGGAGTCGCACGAAGGTTGGGTGCAGGTTTGGGGTTGAAAACCCCGAAGGCGACGCGAAGGACGTTCGGAAGGCGAGGTGAGCGGACCGAGCCTGAACTGGACTTGTACGCGTACAGAGTGCCTCAGTAAGGAATTAGGAAAATTCCTTACACACTCGTACTCGCATTGAGCACACCACGAATCGCACGCTCAAGCCCGATTGGTCAGCGCTAGAAATCTTACCTCCTCAGATCCAGCCTTCCCAGATTTTGCACCCACTCTTTCCACCACAAACCCAAATTCCCGCCAAAGCCAGATAATCACTTTGCCTACCCTTCTGCATATTCAGCACAGACATCAAGACACGCGATGGAGAACGTTCATTCGTAGTAGAAGGCGCGATCTTTTCGTAACATCCGAAGAGCATTTGCCGATACTCCAGCTATGGCGTCAGCCGTGGTAGACCATCCGTACTATCCGCGCGACATCGTCGTTCCTAATTACTCTCCTTCGGGATGGTCGGTCGAAGCGCTTTTCGGCGTCTTCGGAGCGGCCGTTGTTCTCGTGATCGTCGTCTCGTGGCTATTCACCCGTAGGTTCCCTGTTACACGGTTACCTTTAGGACCAGGTTTTATTTGAGATCCACAATAACCCTTGGTCTACTTACCCGTATGCCCGCACGCCCGTAACCCTTACCCGTATGCCCAGTTTCAGTCTGAGAGCCAACCCGTAGGTCCACTGCTTCTGGTGTTAGGCAAGCTAACGCGGCATTGCGATCTATTGCGCGAAGGCAATGCACACGATGCGACAACCTGCGATCTGTGCGATTCATCGTAACATTCCTGCGATTTGTAACATCCATTTGATTCATGACTCGTGCAGCTCATGCGATTCATACGACTGATTATGCGAATCAACGGCTGATCATGCGATCTTATAATTGAGCGTGCGAATCATGCAACGGATTATGCGATCATGCAGACTGATCATGCGACTGATCTTGCGATCTTACGACCGAGCATGCGAATCGTGTGACTGATCACATTCCTGAGGACTCTCGTCACCGCCCTTGCAGATCCTTCCTCCATCAGTACTCTTCCCTTCCCCACGATTCTCTGTTCCCTCCATCCCACTGTTTCCAACAATATCATCCACCCACCCATCAGGATCCTGTCGCCACATGTCGGCTCTAGATAGGGCCATCTTCTGCTGGTGGGCAGTGACGGGGGCGATTCACGTGGTGCTGGAAGGCACGTTCGTTGCGTTCCCGGACCTCATGAGCAGCACCAGCAACGCCTTTCTATTAGACGCATGTACGTACCATCTGCTTGCGTGTGTGTGTGTGTTGGGGGGGGGGGTTTGATTGCTCTTGCGGTAAGGACTTGCATTGGGGTGACGCTGGTGCTTGCGTTGGCGCAGTGTTGGGGCGGGGAGCGCAGTCCAAGTGGTGGTAAGAGGCATATTCGTTGCGGTCCCAAACCTCCTGACCGTGCCTTTCCTTACCTTGTCACCTGCCGCCCTGATCTCGCACCATTCCTCGCGGGGAAGGAGTACAGCAAGGCCGAATCGCGCTATGCCACTCGCTTTGCCTGTATGCACTCTTGGTACCTCTCCTTACCTTGTCACCTGCCCCCCTTTTCCCCGCCTCCTGTCACCTCTCACCTGCCACCCCTCTTCCCTTCGCAGGGAAGGAGTACAGCAAGGCTAATTCTCGCTATAGCACACGAGATGGATGCGTGTTTTTTCATTGTTCCCCGCTATTCATCTGCCACTCTTGCCCTGCCCTACCCTGTCACTTGCCCTGCGCTCGCCTCACCCTCACATGGAAGTAGTACAGCAAAGGCGATTCACGCTATGCCAGCCGAAACGCAATGTCACCTGCTCCGCTCTCGCACCACCCCTTGCAGGGAAGGAGTACAGCAAGGCTGATTCGCGCTACGCCACACGAGACGGCTGTGTGCTCTCTGTTGAGGCAGTCACTGCGTTCATTGAAGGGCCTGCTTGCTTCCTCATCCTGTGAGTGACCCTTGAGCTGTCAACCTTTTGCTGAATGGCCTCTGCTAAAGGCTTTTGCTGCCTGTTTTCTGGCACCACAATCCGCACCACGCAAGATGGATGTGTGCTCTCCGTTGAGTCGGTCACTGCTTTCGTCGAAGGGCCCGCTGCTGTGAGCCTTATCCAGTAAGACGTTCGATTACCCGTCCACTTCCCCGCATACCTCCTCCCTTCCTTCCTCATTCCCTCTTACCTTTCCTCCTCCCTTCCGTCCTCCGTCTTCGGAATCCCGTCCCTCCTCCCGTCTGTCCTCCGTCTTCGGAATCCCGTCCCTCCTCCCTTCCCCCCTCCCGTCCCTCCTCTCGTACCACCCTTCCTATCATCCCCCACTTTCCCTCTTCTGTCTCCTGCCCTCATGCCACGGAGGGTACACTCCTCATCACAAAGGTTACACAAGCATGGCACGGAACAGAAGCATGGCGGAAGAATTTTCTTAAGTAATTTGCTGATCCCCCATTCCCCCAAACCCACCGTTCCCTCACAGGTATGCCATAGCAGCCCGAAACCCCTTCTCTCCGCTCCTCCAGTTCGCCGTCTACCTCGGCCAGCTGTACGGCATCGTCATCTGCTTCGCGACAAGCCCTCCGTTCTCATTCTCTGCACCCAAACCCACCCAAACCCACCCCAACCCAACCTCACCCCACAGATATGGTCTGGCGTCGCGGCGCCCCTTCTCCCCGCTCCTCCAGTTCGCCGTCTCCCTCGGCCAGCTGTACGGCGACGTCATCTACTTTGCGACAAGCTTCCTGGAAGATTCCAAGCACTGCCATCCGGACCCGATCTACTTCTGGGGGTACTTTATAGCGATGAACGCCGTGTGGATTGTGGTCCCCTTTGCCATCCTCTGCCGCTGCTGGGGGCAGATCACGGCAGCCATGGCAGCTGCGTATGCAGCTGGGGGGAGTGGTGTCGGTGGTGGTAGTGGGGGGATGAATGGGGCAGTGAAGAGCAGACGGACAAAGAGGGAATGAACCCCGTATTGTTGGACTACTTTAATCTATGGTGTGCTGGCATCAGGGTACTGAAATTTTTACCCTAAGGGTCAGGGTACGGGGGGCCTGGTACCCTGATTTGCAAGAGTGGACCTAAACCTATTTTGGGCCCTGTCCCCGAGCCCTGCACTTCAAACTGCTCGAATTGCCGCCCTCCCAGCATCTCCATGAGAGCGTTGTAGTGGTCCAGCTTGATGAATGGCGCTGGCGCTGCCTGCCTTGGATAGAATAGGAGGTGCTTTTGTAGAGTTTGGTAGCGGAAGACTTGTAAGAACTCAGATCATAGTGAATGTAAATGACCAAGTTTATTAAAAGATAGAATACAAGGATACAAATAGTCCTAGCCTAGTCATGTACTCTAAGGGGTACATTCCCTTATTATAACTGTTTTACAAGCATTTCTACAGTGACTCTGACTGTTGCATTGCCTTTCTTGTTACCGAGTCGCTGCATGTAACCTGTACGGTTACTCCTGTTGCCATTCCTTGATGGTAAGTCAAGCGTCGGTCCAGATGGTCAACAGTCGTGACAGTTGACTCTTGCGACTGTTGACCTTCCTGCCCTTGTTACGGGCTGATCCGATATTGCGGTAGTTGCTATTTCGACAGAGTCAGGTGCGATACTGCTGCACCTACGGGAATGCTAAGTATAATTCCCTTTACACTCCAACACTCCCCTTCATTCCTGGAGGTGCGCCACGTGGCTTTTGCGAGTGACTCCGCACAGGTCCGAGCAGTACTGGAACTTCTGATGTGGCAGTTTCTTCGTGAGGAAATCAGCTGCCATTTCGCCAGTTGGACATTAGATGAGTTGGACCTTCCCTTTGTCGATTTCGTCCTTCACGAAGAAGTAACGCAGGGCGATGTGTTTCGTGCGGTTGACGAAGCCTGGCTTGTTGGCGATTTTGATTGGGCTCTGGTTGTCACAGAATAACTTAAAGAACCCGTTCATCACCGTCTTCGTTTCCTGCAGGAGTTCCGTGAGGTAGAGTCCCTCGCGAACTGCTGCGCTTGCTGCGATGAATTCTGCTTCTGCTGACGAGAGGGCGATGAGCTCTTGTTTGTTGGAGTTCCAAGAGATGGTGCCTGCAGGCTCAAGTTTGAAAATGAAGCCTGTGCGGGACCTCCTGTTGTCTGCGTCCCCAGCGTGCTCAGCATCCACACAGCCGGTGAGTTGTAGTGGAGCTGTTAGGTTAGCCTTGTAGGTGAGGCCGACATCGGGCGTAGAGATGAAGTACTGTAAGGCGCGGCGCAGGTCCGCTAGGTTCTCCCCTTCAGGTCGGCGCAGGTACTGGGCGAGCTGGCTGGCGATGTAGGATAAATCCGGGCGGCATGTGACGGCGACGAACAGTAGGCATCCGAGTTGCTGCTGATAGAGACGGTGATCGGCTGGTGAGAGCGGAGTGGTGTCGGGCTCGTGGTTAGGCGGAGGAATGCGGAATGGGGTAGTGACGCCGACGGGAGCTATCCCGAATTTCTTAGCAAGGGTCTCGGCGTACTTTGCGACGGAGAGATGAATGGTGTCCGCGGTCTGAGTGATGTTGAGGCCGAGGAATTGAGTGACCTCGTGGTCGATCGTGACCTCCAGCTTTTCCTGAATTTCGCGTTCGAAGCGATCGAGCAGGTCGTTGTCGTCGCAGGTGTAGAGAAGATCGTCGACGTAGGCGACGAGCAGGATGAAGTGACCGCGGGATTCGAGGCGGTACATGTCAGTAGAGCTACACTGTGAGATCCCCGATCGATCCTAGGGGTGGTTACAGGCGCGTTTGCCTGGGGGGTTATGGGCGCACTGACCCGCTACTGAAACAAGCCCATTTATCCCAATGGTCTAGTGGTTGGGATTCTAACATGGTATCAGAGCGGTCTCGGGTTCGAATCCCGGTGTATGCACATGTTGGCCGTTGCCACTGTGCTCAGTCCTGGGCCTCCCAGTGTGGGGGGGTGTCAGTAGAGCTACACTGTGAGATCCCCGATCGATCCTAGGGGGGGTTACAGGCGCGTTTGCCTGGGGGGTTATGGGCGCACTGACCCGCTACTGAAACAAGCCCTTTTATCCCAATGGTCTAGTGGTTGGGATTCTGACAGTACATCCCCTGATCGTGGGGAAGCTGCTGGAATCCGAGTTCGATGAGGACGCAGTGAAGATGCTGCTGCCACAGGCGAGGTGCCTGCTTGATGCCGTACAGGGACTTTTGCAGGAGACAAACTGCGTCGCCATCTTCTTCGAACGCGTCTGGCTGCTCGACGTAGATGACAACGTCGACGATCGCGTAGAGGAACGCATTGGAGACGTCGATCTTGCGAAGCGGGCGCTGTTTCACGGCGGCGATGCAGAGAAGAATGCGTACTGAGGTATGACGACCGACAGGTGCGAAGGTCTGGTTGTAGTCCACGAATTGTGTCTGCTCGAATCCGCGAACCACCCAGCGCGCCTTAATTTTTTCGACTGTTCCATCCGCGAGAGTCTTGATGCGGAAAACCCACTTCCCTGTAAGGATCTTCCTCCCCTTTGCGTGGCGGCGTGGTACCAGCTTCCAAGTTCCACGACGTTGTAGTGCAGCGACTTCTGCGGCCATGGCGGCTCTCCACTTCTCGGCATCGGGCCCGTTGAGAGCCTGGCGAACGGTGTTGGGCTCGACCAGCTGCTGGTTACCCCGCACGGCGACAGCGAGGCCGAGGATACGAAGGCCCGTGAGGTTGGATTTGGCTGTGGTGGTAACTTCGACCACGTCGTCGTAGTCACCAGGGATGTCGCGAAAGGTGTCGCGAGATGAGTCACGAGCTGGGTTCATGGGTGAGTGCATTTCTGCACTTGCGTAATCGTGGTGTGCCTGTACTGCTTCGTGGGGATTGGTGTCTGTTGGGAAGTATGTGGGAGTGCCGAACTGCTCCGTAACGGGGATGAAGGGTGCTTCATCTGCTGCAGCCTGGTCTAGCTGTTCTCCTACCACGTCAACGTTGTCCTCGTCATTGGCGTAGCTGTGCTGTCCCTGGAAAATGTTGTCCGGTGCGTTCTGTGCAGTGCGGTGCTGGCGGTACAGTGGCAGGGTCAGTCTTTCGTAGAAGATGCAGTCACGTGAACGCGTGAGCTGGTGGGTGGCGAAGTCCAGAGTTGTCCAGGCGTGGTATTTGGATTCGATTCCGAGGTGAATGCCAAAGCGAGCGCGATCCTCAAATTTTCCGGTTCGGGCAGTGTGAGGGCGGTACTGTACCATACACCCGAAGACTCGCAGCATGCGTGTATCGGGGTGTTTTCCAGTCCACTCCTTGAAAGGTGAGCTGTTGTTGGGCAGTGCTTTTGAGGATAGCATGTTGTGCAGCCAAACTGCATGCCCCATGGCAAAGGGCCAATACTTGGTTGGCACAGCCGACTGCTTCATGAGGGCTCGCATTTTCGTCGCGAGGCTCCTGTTGGTTCTTTCCGCCAATCCCTGCTGCTCGTGGGCGTAGGGCAAGGAGACCATCCTCTTGATCCCTCTTTGCTTGCATAGGGTTTTGAAGTCGTCCGACATGTACTCCAGGGCTCCGTCTGTCTGGAACGCTTTCAACTTGTGGCCGTCACTTAGGTTTTCCGCCATGGCGAGCCAAACTTCGAAACAGTAGCAGGCGAGGTAACGGTCCTTGACGTTCACGGCCCAGACGAAGCGTGTGCCGGCGTCAATGAAGTGTCAGAACATTATAGTTTATGCTATTGTGTAGGCTATAGTGGGGTATCCCATAGGGGGTACAACCCAACTAGGGTTTCATATTTGTACTCGCTTCATTCATAGTTCACATCATTCTCTCGTTCTCATTCTCACATGGAATCAGAGCAGGTCCCCTCCTAGGGACTGTTCCTAGGGCCCACCGAAGCGCGCCTCGAGTCGCGCTCTCCCTTTTTTTTTTTCTAGCGGCCCGTCGTGCCGCCCTTACGGTCGCGCCGAGCCGCCCTAGCGGCCCCGCCGCCCTACCTAGCGGCCCCGCCGCCCTACCTAGCGGCCCCGCCGCCCTACCTCGCGGCCTCGCCGCCCCATTGCGCGGCCCCGCCGCCCTACCTAGCGGCCCCGCCGCCCTTACTCGCGGCCCCGCCCCCCCCCCCCATCGCGCGGCCCCGCCGCCCCATCGCGGCCTCGCCGCCCCATCGCGCGGCCCCGCCGCCCTACCTAGCGGCCCCGCCGCCCTTCCTTGCGGCCCCGCCGCCCCATCGCGCGGCCCCGCCGCCCTACCTAGCGGCCCCGCCGCCCTTCCTCGCGGCCCCGCCGCCCCATCGCGCGGCCCCGCCACTCTACCTCGCTGCCCCGCCGCCCTACCTCGCGGCCCCGCCACTCTACCACGCGGCCCCGCCGCCCTATCTCGCGGCCCCGCCGACCTATCCAGCGGCCCCGCCGCCCTTCTGCAGCGGCCCCGCCGCTCCTCTGCAGCGGCCCCGCCGCCCTACCCAGCGGCCCCGCCGTCCTTCTGCAGCGGCCCCGCCGCTTCTCTTTAGCGGCCCCGCCGCCCTATGTAGCGGCCCCGCCGCCCTCTCTGCAGCGGCCCCGCCGCTCCTCTGCAGCGGCCCCGCCGCCCTACTTCAGCGGCCCAGCCGTATGAAAGAAAGAACGAGAATGAAATGACTATGAACGAAGTGAGTACAAATAGGAAACCCTAATTAGGTTGTACCCACTATGGGATACCCCACTATAGCCTACACAAATAAGTAAGCTATATGTTCTGACACACCCCCATAGGCAAAGTGGGGGAGAACAAGGGGTCACAAGACCAGTCAAGCAAAGCAAAGCAAAGCTCAGGGTGGATCACAAAGTCACCACACATTCCGAGCACAAGTTCAAAGGCCACAAGGCCAGTTCACATGCAAGATCATATATAGAAATATACAAGAGTCAAGTAAGCAAGAGCAAGAGTATATATAGGTGAAGGTACAAGCAAGGTCAAGAAGTGAGTAAGTGAGGCAAGACAGGCACAAGACCCAGCTGCGTGCAACAACGCTGATGATCACAAGGC